CCCATGACCTCAGTTTCCCCCAGTGACTCCAAACATTGGAGACAGAGGGCTTGACAGCAAGTCAGATGATGGTTTTATGCCCATCAGGTTGTGGCTGCGAAGATAACACCCAGTGAGTGGAAAGTTCCGCGCAGGAACCAGTGAAGGTCCCCGTGGGGCCGACCCAGCAGGCATTGCTTGAACCTGCCTCTGGTCAAACAGAGCAGAGACCAAGCCAGAGTTTGGTCCATGGTGAGTAATATTAATCATGGTGGCTATGTGGAGGTTTTGCTATAGCCCGGGCACTGTGCTGAGTATTTCCTTCTTCACCCTAACATTTCTGACCCCCATTGTGCAAACAAGAGCACTAAGACTAGGTGAGGTTAATAAACTGCCCCAAGTCACACAGGTAGTCAGAACACAAGCAGTCTGGTCCCAGGTCTCACAACCTTAACCACACTGTCACACTACCTCTGTCACACAGCCCTGTAGAGTAGGGCAGAAAGATACTCCCGGTTTACAGATGGCTACAGCTGACAGGCATGAGTAACTCTCCGCAGAGGTGAGATCGGCCCGTCAGAAGCAAGATACCAGTCTGTCGGGAGATAAGAAGACAAAGGAGGCATTTAGCCCATTTTCCTTGTGAGAGGCCATTTTTTTGAGAGTTAACCATAGGCCAGGCTCTGGGCTTATAATCATCATTCTTTTTTTCTTTTTTCAGCGTTATAAGGCATCATCATGAGTCCCATTTTATAGATGAGGAAACTGAGCCCCAGAGAGGTTGCATAACAAGGTCTGATGGGTATCCAGAGCCAAAGATTTAAGTTCTGGCAGCCTCTGGGCCAACTGCCTCCATCAGTGAGTTCCAAACTGAGGGGTCATAGATCTCCAGGATCAGAGCCCCCAGATCTACCTATCAGACCATTCTGCGGTGTACATTAACGTGACAGATGTCGGAGACTCTGATTCTGGGGCTGGAGCATCTGCAGCGTAAACAAGTCGAGCGGTAATTCCCAGCGCAGGCACACTCAGGAAATCTGGCCTGGAGCCCAGGCTTGGTGGCAGAAGCCTGTCCTTTCACAAAAGCCCAGACGATTCTGCTTCGGAGAGTGGCAGATACTAGGTCTCAGGACACTGAGAACTTGTGGCCACTCCCCACCCCTCCCCCTACTGTGGTCCCTGGTAACGGCCCCGTGGCACAGCTGCAGTCCTCCCCGACTGCCTGGGTTGGAGGAGAAGCTGGCATGAACCCCAGAACTTCACAGTGAGCACCAGCTCCCACAATGGTCAGGGGATTTCTTAGAATCCACTTCCCGTGGCCCCCCATCATCACCCCCAAATCCTGCTAGCTGCTCTCCCCTGAGCACCCACAGGTCGTTTATCTTTCCAGGAGCCTCAGTTGATCTAATTTGCTAAATGTAAGCACTGGCAGAGCTCAGTCAGGGGGCACAGGAGGGGGACGCAGGAAGCTGGGAAGCTGGGACCTCATGCGCTATTCTCCAGTCCACTCTCCACCCTATTGCTCATTGTTAAGAGCTTGATATAAATGAAATTATACAGAGGAACCTTGGCAGGGAAGGGCAGGCAGGCAGTGGCGGGTGATTCGTGCTTAACTCCTGAATGATCACGGGACTCCCCCAAATGCACCCTTGAACGACCTAGGCAAGAAGTGCCTCGTAGGAATGTGTCCATTCAGAGCTAAACCTAAGGAGACACATCCCAGGTCCCTACATCCAGAGCTGCCCTAAGAGGTAACCACCCTGTTCCCCTTCTTTCCCTCCCCTCCCCGCCCTGGCCCCAATCTGCATCCAATGAGAAAAAGGTATTGCGAGCATCAAAAGCGGCACAGAAGGAAGAAGGCACATAGGTGATGTGCTCCCTTGGGTATGGGGTGGCAAGGCACAAGTGGAGAGCGTAAGCTCAGGAGGGAGCACACAAGGCTCAAACTCGGGCTGCTGTCTACTAGCATTGTGCTAAGTCCACAGTGCTGGCCGGCTCACACCGTGGCTGTGATAACTGACTGGAGTACAGGGAGCCGTTCCCTAGCCACTCAGCACACATATACGGAACCTACAATGTGCCAGGGACTGTTTTAGGCACTGGGGAGGCAACAGGACTGAAAGGAGTCCCTGCTCTCAAGGAGACCACCCTCATCCCCTAATGTAAATCCACCGAAGATGTCACAGATGTTCTCATTTTATAGGCGAGAAAACCAACACCGGGGATTAGGCTCTAGATGAGACTGGTTCGACTCCAGGATCCACACAGGTCACGGCTTACTCTGTGCTGGACACAGAGGCAGCGTTTATGATGTGTTCTTCAGAAGCCAGGCCAGGTTTTCAAAGGCAGAAGGCCATGCCCCTCCCCAGGAGAGGGGCTGACAGGGCTGCCTTGCTGCCACCCCATCCCGCCCCAGGCACCGGCCTCCCTGGGACCATGCACTCTCTGTAGCTCAGAACTTCCAACGTTCAACAGTCCTTTGCGTGATCTGATCTGTTTTCTTTTTCAGATGAGAGGAACCAAAGCCCAGGGAAAAAGGAACGTGCACAGTTACCCAGTGAGTTAATGTTAGAGCTGGGGCAGATCCCAGCCTTCTGGTGAACAGGCTCCTCATTCCCCAGGGGGGCCCTGACCCCAGCCCCCGGACCCCGGACCCACCGTCCCCTTCCAGCCTCTGCCCCATGAGCACCATCCACAACGAAGGCCCACGGGAAACGCCAGTCCAGCCACGGCAAAGACAAGCAGAGAATGATTTGGGAAAGGCAAAACTCAGAGACCCCATCTCCAGGAGGTGTGGAGTCTCAAAGGTGGGTCCCTTGACTAAATTCTGAGCTCCTTCCAGGCCATCATGCACACATTCTTACACATTCTCTCACATTTCTGATCTCATGTTCTCTCTCCCGCCCTCTCTCACAGACCTGGATCCTGGGGTGAAGGGTCAGTATAACCACAGTGGAAGTGGGGCCCAGGGTTTTGAGGACAGAGCTGTTATCAGATTTACTATATATATCCTTGAAAGACCTTCAATGTAATTAAACTTGTCTGACCTTCATAAAGACACTATGTAGCCATTTGAAGAATGAGCTAGATCTATGTGTGCCTAAGACATAATGTTAAGTGAGAAAAACATTTCATAGTGTTATGTATAGGGTTATCTTATTTGGATTAAGAAACACCATGTATACACACACTTATGTCTTTCAGTTATATATATCCCCAAGAGCAACTGGTTGGAACGGTGGGAGGGGATAAGGAACTTCCACTTCTTTTAACTTGAAACTAGATTATTTGAATGGTTAACACATCAGTTATGCAATAATAACTTTTAAACAGCATTTTGTTTAAAAATAAGCAACTTACCAATGAGGTTAAAAAAAGTTTTACTGCAATCAATACCTCTCTTGCTGGCAGAGAGCGAGCTAGGGACACATACACACGCATATACACACACAGCGTGTCTCCTAGAACCTGCAGGTTCACTCACGGTCACTTCATCCCGATACTGTCTGGATTCCTTCACAGATAACCATCCCTCCTTACATTGATCCTATGTGCTCCTCTGCAAAGCGTTTGTGCATGTAAGAAGTCAGGTGGACATTTAAAGGATGAGTTGTTGATCAGAGACGGGCTGGGGGGCCTGGACACCCAACATCCCTAGTGAAATGGTATGCCCCATCTTTCTGCTGGTGTTTTTTGTAAGGATCCGTAGCTGTCACACAATTCTCAAAGGTGTCAGCAGCCCAAATACGATTATAAAACAGGATGTGACCTACCAATGTTCTTTTTTTGCAAGAAATATTTCTAAAAGGATAAACAAGAAACTGCTAACAATGGCTGCCGCTGGTGGAGGGGGGCCTGGAAATCCTGGGTGAAAAAGGACCCTATCTTTCATGGGACCCTCTCTTTTGTACTACTTGAATTTGTTTTTACCATGATCATGGATCACTGCTCCAATTAAAGTCACTCAAACATTGCTTTGGAGAGAAGAGGGGGGCCCGAAACAATCTGGAAACTCTGGAAACTCAGGGGAACTCCTCTGTATTTGTATGACCAGCCAAAGATTCCATCTGGTATAAATCCTACCTATTTTCTCTAAGCAAAAGAGCACATTCCCAGGAGAGAAGCGCCATCACTATGGAGGTTGCTCCACGAAGCATGGCTTTATGAGCCGTGGGGAGGGACTTGAGGGTTACATGGGTCTGAGGTCTGCTGCTGCTGCAGCTGTTCCTTCTCTAGGGTCCGAATGAGACATCTGGTATACGTTTCCGGCTCTTAAGCCAGCCGGGCCCACAGATGCCCTTCAGTTCTTAAGGTGTGCAGTGAGAAGGCTGGGAAAGTAAGACGGGTAACTGCAGCAGAGGGAAGCGTGCAGAACACAAACACATGGGCGGCTCAGCCGGTTTCCCCCTGTCAGCACGGCTGCGGGAATGATTTGTGAGAACCCAAGCCAAGTTCCCACTGCTCCAGACCCTGGACACAGAGGAAGAGGCAGGGAGAAGCGAGTCACACCTGCGTGTTCCCTTTCTTCCTTCTTGGGACAGACATTGTTTACTTGCAGACCACAGGTGGTGGCAGCTGGGCCTGTAAACACCACTGCAGACCAGTTGGCTTGGCTCAACCAGGTCATCTGAGCAGAGGATCGGGAGCCACGGGTATGGTCTTCCAGCCAAAGCTCATTTCCTGCCTAATTCCCTCCGGCAGACGCACTGAGAAGCCTTACAGAGGAGACATGGCCAATTTATAAACAAACACACGAGGGGCCTTGCACTTGCATGTGAGCCTGGGTGAAGTCTCAGCACAGGGCTTCACGGTAGAGGGCTCTAGTTAACATAGATTCTCTGCCTCGCCTGTCATCCTGAAAATCACCTAGCTTCTCCCTTCTCTTCCTCCCTCCTCTTCTCCTAAATGCCCGGTTCCTTTTTCATCTCCTGCTAGTTCTGAGACCAGCAAAGAGCAAAGGAGAAGTGGGAATAAGCACTCACGCTCATTTCAAGTGTATGAACCATGACTTTTATTTTCTGTATTATGATGATGCTTTGATAGCTGGGGCCTTGCCCTTCTCAGGATTAGCCAATTCCTAGGGACGGTAAACAACTTTGAGATGCAGGCTCTCACCCTCTCAGCCAGTCCCCCTGCCCAGATCACCCCGGGGGCAGGTGCCACCCTATTAGCCAGTCCCCCTGCCCTGATCACCCTGGGAGCTGGTGCCAGACAACTAGGAACAGCCCTTTTGCCCCAGATCCCACTTCAAAGTGGCCAATCCAAAGCCAGCTTACCCTGCCATGCCGGTTTCTTCCTATAGAAACCAAAGCGAAGACTCCTGCCCACATCCCCTCACCTCCCACAACCTGGCCCCTGACTGACCCCTGTGCTTCCCTATGTGGTGTGCCCCTTCTCTTGGGATCTTGAGTACAGCAAACTGTTTTTTCAGTGGTAGTCATCTCCTGACCTGCTGGCTTCCCCATGCCTAAATAATAAAGAAACCTGAAGTTCCTCAAGAAAGAGAAAGCTCAAGCCCAGTGAATCTGTGGATTATCCGGGACTTTCCTTGTCTCTCCGAAGCTCAGCCCTTCGCAGAACTGGCTTGCATACACTCTCAATGGACAGCCTCTCAAGGTCCCTGCCCAAGGCCAGCCCTGCTTGTCCTAAAAATTCCATGCGTGCGGGGAGTGCCAGGCGCCCCCCAGCGCGGCCAGGGCCTCTTACCTCATTCCCCGGCACGTGCTGAGTGTCACACTGGACTGCTCGGCCTTCCTCACCGTCCCGTGGTAAAAGCAGTGGTCCTAGCGAGGAGAAGAGGGGGCTGGTCAGGCGAAAGGACACTGATAAGCTTGGCAACGTTCATGTTCCGTGAAGGTCAGGGACGATTATGCACGCCCTAACTTACAGTCTGCAAAGAGCTTCCTAAACCACCCTTTTATTTGATCCTCGTAATAGTCCTGGGACAGAGCAGATGTCATCATTCCAGTGAACAGATGAACAACCGAGATTCAGAGAAGCAGAAAGATTTGCTAAAGGTCTCCCTGTTAGAGAAGCCAGGACATCAGGTCTAGCTCAGGGCTCTTGCCATGACACGTGGCTACAGGCCACGATGGCTTCTGAAGAGCCTGCCTCCCTGCTCGAGTCACCTCCGGGATCCCCTGCAGAGTTGAGATGCGTGTCCTCCCAGAATCTCAGAATGTGACCTTCTTTGGGACAGGGTCTTTTCAGATGGCATTAAGTTCAGATGAAGTCATACTGGACTGATGTCCTTGGAAAAAGAGGGGAGGACACAGAGAGCCCGAGGGAGAGAGAAGAGGCCATCTGAAGTCGGCTGCAGAGATTAGGGTGATCCAGCTGCAAGCCAAGGAGCACCGTGGACTGACGGGGGCCGCCAGAAGCTAGACGAGGCAAGGAAGCATCCTTCCCTAGAGACCACAGAGGAAGCCTGGCCCTGCTGACACCATGATTTTGGACTTCCAGCCTCCGGAACTGTGTTTTGCACCTCTAAGTTCACAGTGCTTTGCCACAGCAGCCCTGGGAAACGGAGAGCTCCCCACTTCCCCACCTCCCTGAATCCCTGTGTGCCTGGATCAAACCCGATTTGGCACCTGCAGCCACAGACGCCTGGAGGGCTGATGCTGCTCTCACATCGGTGTGTCTCACAGCCATCTGGTCCTCCTGACCTGGCTGGACTCCCCTTGACTACAAGCAGCTGCTGAATGCTGCTCCAGGCCAGGCCCCCCGCTACGTCCGGGAGACACAACAAGGAGAGAGCACGCACGTCTCCAGCCTTCCTGGGACTTAGCGTCTTGCGAGAGCCAATCTTAATTAAAAAGCCATACAGAGATTTAATTACAAACTCTGAAGAGAGGCTTGAAATCCAAGTTGGAGGTGCCAGCCGAGTGTATTATAAGTAGGGGAACCAGAGCATCTAAGAGGCCACCCGGGACACAGCTAGGAGCAGCGAAGCACCAAAGAGACCGATGGGCGCAGCCCACGACTGTCCCCAGCACACACAAGGGCACACTCCTATAAACTTCTTCCCACATAGTTCAAGGGAGCTCAGCTGCTCAGAAGAGAGAGAGGGAAAAATCCCCAGGGCAGAGGCGGGTTTCGCAAAGGTGTTAGGAAGGGTCTGAGCTCTGCAGCTGCAGACACGGGAGTTTTTTCTTTCCCCACAGTGCCCAGGCAGGTTCAATCAGAAATCTCGGGCATCTGCCTACGATCTGCCCGGCGATCCCTCACTAGGACCACACTTGTTGTGGTCGTTCCTCGGTCGGAAGCCAGCAGGGACAGGACCCAGGAGGCGGCAAACCCATTCGTTCACAAACCCATTCATCGGCACTCTCTGGCCCCACCTCCCGCCCAGCTCTGGGCAGGGCAATGGCCTGATGACTAAACGCAGGCACGCTGGTGCGGCCCGGCTGGATCTACATGCAAGCGCCCACACCTGCCTGTGGTCGAAACAGTTCCACAACCTCCCTCCGACCTCCAGTGTCTTTGGTCTCTACCTCATGAGGTGCTTGTGAGAAAACTCTCCATTGAGGACCTGTGGTAGGCAATAAACCTTAGTGATCGTGATACAGGCCTTAAAGTCAAAGGTGGGATGTGGCTACGAGGGAGCCGGAAGCCCACCGAGGGCCTGAACCCTCAGTGGTCCCACACCAATTCTGGGTCATACACAGCTGAGCCACATGCCAGGTCACAGGCTACGGGCCAGGCCGGAACTCAGCTCAGGGGCAGGGTCCAGAGCACGGGTGTCCTCTCTCATGGCGACAACCTGCTGGCTGGCGGCGTGGCTCGGCTCCTCCACCCATTCTAGCTCAGGACAAGAGATAGGCAGCGGCTTCTCTCTTTGCATCAAACTCTCCTGGACTTCCAGTGCACCAGATGCCGGCATTCAGAGGAACACTGCGGAAAGGCGCTGTGCCGGCACCTGTGAAGGGAGGTGAGGCAGGCATAACCCCCCTTCCAGCCGGGATTCCACCTGCTTGCAGATGCCGGTCGTCACACAGGCCCCCAGATGCCGGTCGTCACACAGGCCCCCAGATGCCGGCTGTCACACAGGCCCCCTCTGCCAGACTCCCAAGACCTGGAGACGTATCATCAACTCGCAGCTTCTGAACCGATCCTTACAACTCAGCCACAGGGCCATGAACTCCACAGCCCGCATCATTCACCAGTGGAAGACGAGGCCAGGCCCATATAGGGTCAGTGGGGTTTGCAGATGTTGGAATGACGGAGAGTCAAAAAGTTCAGAAATGAGGATCAGCTACAGTTTCAAAAATCCGGGTCCCTCTACAAATCAAGAGAATTCAAATCCAGGGATGGACACGAAGAATCCCCGGGCCTCTTCCCATCTTTGAGATGATGCTAATAGTGTTCACCAAGGTGCCCTCTCAAACAGCATAACAGTGGACTTTAATAACATGCTTTAGATCGACCAAGCGCTTTCACACACATCATCACACATGCTAATGATACCTGCCATTTCTATTGTAAACCATGAGGCTAACATCCATCCAGCCCTGGAGACTGGAAAAAAAACTAATGGAGATTTTTTTTCCTTTAATTCTGACAATCTCACAGCCTTATGAGGTAGGTATTTTAACTGCCATTTTTTAAAAAGGGAAATTAAAGGTGGGAGAGGTTTCCTGTGGCTCACAAGGTCACACAGCCAGGAGGAGACTGGAACCACGGCAAGCCTAACTTGAGACTCGCCGGCCTCTCTGAGCAAAAGCAGCCCCAGGAAAGTGTGCAGGAATGAACTGGTCACAGCTCTACTCTCTTCTAGCCCCACCAGGGACTTAATTCTAGTCTAAGCCTTGCCACTGGCTGGTTATCTGAACATAAACATGTTATTTTCTCTCTTCTCAATTTCCTCATGAGTAAAATGTGGCGCTGGCAGATATGTTTACAAATTCCCACAAAATCGGTGACTCATCTTACCCTTCTATAGCTCTGAGAGTCAGATCTTAATATATCCAATTTTCTGATGAAGAAACTCAATACCAGTGTGGACAAAAGCATTGGTTAAGGTCACAGAGCTGGTTAAAGTCTACATGCCTGGCCTCAGACTCCAAATCTGAACTCCGCTGGCCTGAAGGATGAGTCTGACGGTTCCCAGGGCTCCCAGTAGCCCAGGCCAAGGCTGGTCGCAGGGCGTAGCCCTCCATGTTTGGGTCAGGCACAGCTAAATGGTGTATTCTATTCTCATTTCTCTTTGAAGTCCTCAGCTCCCAGGTAAGAAAGCGGAGAAGGAGTTCCATGGGGCTGGATGGGGGCTTTGCAAGGGTCCAGTAGGAGGGATGTACGAAAATAATGGGTCGTCCCATACTGCAGCTAGGATGTGCTTCGGTCAACAGGACCTTCAGGAAAGAGGGGTGTTCCAGGGGTGAGGGGAAGTTCTCTTCCACTCCTTTGTTTCTGAAAGGCCCTCACAGCATCTCTGCCTGATGCTGAGTGCACAAAGAACAAGTAAATGAACAGTCATGAAGTCACCGCATTCCTTCTCAGCCTCTCAGGCTGAGGGGGCCACCCAAGGGGGCTTTCACAGCAGGAAGTATGAGCTCATGGCAAACTTGTGCACTGAGACCCATTCTTGAGCTGCGGGTGGAGAAGTGCCAAAGCCAAACTCAGAGGACGGTGCTTGGTGAGGTCCTGGGGCTTTCGAGGCACGCCTGCTTCCTCCCTGGAGGCAGAGAGTGGAGGTCTCCATAATGGAGGGAGTTTCGACCAAGGGGCACTGAAGAAGGCGAGGAGCCACGCCTAGAGAGCCTCCCCAGAGATGAGAAGACAAGGTCAACCTGCCTGCCCGTGGATCCTGGCCACACTGCCAACTCCTCCCCCCTCCAGAAAGGTCTTGGTGAAGAAGACAGCACTGATGGAACACAGCTCCTCAGCTACCCGATTGCTATGCTCCCAACCTCTCAGATCTGTCAAAACTTAGAAGTCCTGGGTCCCTTTCCCCATTCAAGGCTAATCTGATAAACTAATCTGAGCTTTTACTGACGGAGAGTGGCTGTCCTTGTCTTCTGGACATCTGCGCTCCAGCAGAGATATTTTAAAGACGGGTCATGGAGACCCATGAAGCTTCTCTGATTCCACGAGAAGCTTCCAGAAGAACACTGAGGCTAAGGGGCCTATCCTGCTACCCTATTCACCACACTCCGCATCTGCATGCCACCCACTTCCATGACGTCCTGCCCCAAAGGCAGAAGACCACTGCTGCTCCTGCTGGAGTCCATCTTCCCTCCTTCACCCTATCTCATCTGCACATACTGAGAAAGTTCACTCTAATCCAGAGTTTCTCATCTTGGGCACTGTTGACATTTGGGGCCGCATAACTCTCTGTTGTGGAGGGGCCACCTTATGCATTATAGGACACTTAGCGGCTTTCCTGGCTTCTACCCACCAGATGCCAGTAGCATCCACCTCCCAGTTGTGACAGTCAAAACTGTCTCCAGACGCTGCCAAGTGTCCCCTCCTTTGCTGGCTGAAATGGTCAACCAAACAAATAGAATATTTTTTGGTAACTGCATCTGATTAAAATTGACCTCATCAACATGAAACCTATCTTCTTTACATTAACAAAAGTTTAAGTAAAAGAGATGATTTAGGCAAAATTACTCCTAGCTAAGAACCACTGCTCTGATCCCGCCAACACTAACGGTCCCCTGGTAGGAAAAGTCAGCAAACTGTGAAATGGGTACAGTTCACTACCTTAAATGCCCACCAGTGGGGTGTGGTGAAGCACACTAAAATGCATCCATATGACAAACGATTTGACAGACTATTTTTTTTTAACAGATTTTACTTATTTATTTATTTGAGAGTCCAGCAGGAGGAGGGAGAAGGACAAGCAGACTTCAAGTTGAGTGCAGAGCCCAACTCGGGGCTCAATCCCAGGACCCTGAGATCATGACCTGAGCTGAAATCAAGAGTTGGATGCTAAACCAACTGAGCCACCCAGGCACCCCTGAAAGACCATTTTTTAAGTGACAAATCTTTGTGCAAATATCTGAACTCAAAAACACTTTGAAAGAAAAAAAAAAAAATCCAGTATAAACACTGCAGCAAAACAAGAAAATCTGCATAGCCTGAAATTACATTGAGAAGGCAGACTACAAAACCTTATCCATCCATATGGGAAAGGATCAATTAAACATCTAATTAAGTGACACGGCAGGATCCCTGGTAACTCATTTCTTTCACTTACACTTTTGTTAATATGTGGGTGATTAACACCCAACAAAGAAAATGTATGCTTCGTAATGATTTATACCAATTTTAATCAGATGCAATTACCTGAACTACTGTTCGTCTGACCATTTTAGCCAGCAGAGAAGAGGGCGGCCTTATGAGACAACAAATTTACAGAATGCTTCTCCTGCTCACGCCCTTGGTCTTGGGTCAGGGCAAACAAACCCTTCAGAGGGGGTCTGTCTCCACCATGCATCTCCTCACTCCCCAGGGGTGGGACGAGGATAGGCCAACTGCAGATCTTTGTTGACCTGAACTTACCTCAGATTTCAGCCTGGTGGTCTGAGGGCTGCCACTTGGAGTGTAATGGGTTTCCGTGTAGGCTGGAGCAAAAAGGTACCTGCAAAGAATAAACAAAGGCTTTTGTCTCTTTAGGTGATGGCCTCTGCCCTCCTGGAAACAGCGGCCAGCCATTCTCAATGACCCAGGAAGAACCACCCAAGCTTCTCCTAGCACAAGAAAATAAGCCGCCATAAGGGCCTCGGGAACAAAAAGAAAACCAGGAGGAAGGGGATTAGTTTGTATTCAGTGGGTTCATCACCTAGTTTGGACACAACCAGAGGAAGCAGACAAAGCTAAAGCAGCATTGCAATGCTTTCTGCAACCTAGAATATATACACGCAAACACACACTGAGAACTTGCCAAGGTCCGCGGACTCAGATCTGGGACCTACACTGGTAATGTTAGCACGGCGCCCACCAGCTTTCAGTATCAGCATGCCAGGTTTTCTTTAAGGGAAACTCTCTTTCCTGTTGCATGTTTTAGTGTCCCACCTGGCCCTGGCCAACGGTGTCCCAGGAACCAAGCTAAGCCAATGGAATGATGTTGCAAAAACCGACCAGATGGGAGTCATTCATCTGTTCCTTTGTTCCCGCTGCGGGACTTCCCCGCACGGCCTTTGCCTGCCTTTTCTGAGACCTGGTGGCTCAGATTTCTTGAGACCTGCTGTTTCTGTGCATTACCCTTACAGACAATTCTGGTTTTTTATCTTTTCTTTTCTAAAATTGGACATTGGTTTCTCCCTTGCCACAGACCCCTTGAGGCTGAGGCTAAGACTCTCTCACCAAAGGCAAAGGCAACACCAAACAAGGTTCCTAGAATTTCTCTAAAAGTTTAAAGAAAAATAAAAGAGCCAAGTGGAGGTTTCAACTAGCTCAGCCACATTAAAGGCAAAATGCATCTATAGAAAGTTGAAGTCCAGGGGCAAAGAGGGGGTCTCAGGTCCGTAAGAGAAGAGAAATTGGGAGTCTAACAAAAAAGAATTAAGTGAAAATGCGTGAAGAGAGCTTAACGGCAAGCCTAGACTCACAGAGTGAGCTCAGTAAAGGTCAGCAATCATCATCATTGCTTCCACCAGGAATAATAACAGAAGAACCCAGAAAAAACAGATGGAATGTACCTCTTTCCCCCTAACTGTCCCCAGTCATTAATCCTCCAGCTGATCACTTGAGAGAGGTGAAAAAGCAATTAGCTCATTCTCAACCCCATTTCCTGGGTCTGCTTTCACAGATAGCATTATGGACAGCTAGTTATGGGTTCAGAGTTTAATGGTCTATCTCAGTGCCAGTGGGAAACCTGAATTTTCTCACAGGAAATGCACTCCTGGCAAATACATTTTTAACCTCTTTTTGAGTCTTAGGGCGGGAGAATCATTGATTCAGTCACATGAAGATGCTCCGAAGAGAACATTCCAGATTGAACCTCAGAGATGGCCACATTCTTGTCAGTCCCTGGCCATGTCTTCAGCAGGGTAAGCATTGTTCTGTAGCTTCTTATTCTGAGGATCTCATCATAGGACTCTCAGAGCCTCAGGGTTAAAAGGGACTTTTGTAATCATTTAGCCAAACTCACTGGACTGTGGGTTCCCTGAGAACAATGGCACAGGTGCTTTGTTCAAGGCTTCTCCCCACCTCCCAGCACCTCCCAGCACCTCCCAGCAGGCAATACAAAGTTTACTCTGTGAATGAGTGGATGAATGGATGAATGAACAGGTGAATGAATGAACCTTCTACTTGTGTGGGAATCTGCCAGATGGCCATTCAGTACTGGACATCTCCAGTGACACGGAGCTCATGAGAGCCCCCACTCCATTTCGGAACCCATTTAGCAGTCAGAGAAAGTTCTTACACAGAACCTCTCTGTAACTGGCGCCCACTGGCCTCATTCTGTCTTCTGAATCCACATGGAATGATCTGCTTCTTTTTCTGCCTAACAGCCGTTTCAGGACCAGCAGCGGCAGCATAGTCTAGGAATTAGTTAAAACTGTAGATTGCTAGACCCCACCGCAGATGTACTGGGGCAGAGAGAAACTCAGCCACCCTTTGTAATAACTCCCGAAGTGATTTTGATGCAGAAGCACCACCCTAGACCACAAGTTAGTGAGTTAACTTTTAAGGTAGGCACACCTCAGAAATATCAAAGTGTCTCACTCCCCAAGCCCCCATCATCTTCCTGCCTCTACCACATCCTGGATCATTCTGAACCTGAAAAACCCAGAAAAGTTCCATCGAAACAGTTCACACATATTTAAGTGTTAAACCGTTGAACACACCCACGTACAACAGACCCCTGAGGTAGGTCCTAATCCTTTCCCCACTGTGTGACTAAATACCCTGGAAACTCCACATTTAACTTGTCCAAGTTCTCCCGGCACGATGTCAGGGCCAGGTTTCAGACCCGGAGCTGTTGGCCCAGACCATACTTTTTAAGCACTTTTCTGCTCTGTTTTTTCTTAGAAATTGGAAGCATAAAACTAAAACACTTCCAGGAACCAGTGTCCAGACCACAATTTGATGATAACGATAGCAGCCTTGGGGACATACGGGATGTCACAAAAATGTCATGAGCTATTAGATGTGCATATATGCAGAGAAAAATATGGGTAAGCAAAGCACGCGGCAGGAGAAAGAGGATGAATACATAAGGACTTCAGGGCCAGTTTTTTGAAACAACAACCCTTTCCCCAAATGGGGTTGCCAATGTTGGCCAAGGTCCTTCTTTCCAGAAGCAAAAGGGTCACGTTTCATCACCACCATCCATGCAATTTTACTGAGAGACAAAACACCACTTTCATATCCTCCCCACAGCCCTAGCCAGGCCTGCCCATGCCTGTGTGTCTAGGTGGTACCCTGGCAGTGCTCTTGGGACTCAGAGAGGGGGCTAGGGGGTCAATGAGCAGCCCAGCTTGGCCCATCCGCCCCTTCTTCGGCCACATCTTGTTCTCATCTCCTCCCTGACAAGGGGCTGGCTCAGCAGCTCAGCAGGAAGCCATCTCTCACCACTGGAGTGTATTAGGATTTTCAGGAAACAAGTTGTGAGTGAAGTGCGTCCAGGAAGGGAGAAGGACTGTCCAAGATTTCCCACCCCACCCCCTCCTTCTTCTGGCTTTGATGGAAAAGCAGTTTCTATGACATGCTCCCCCGCTGCATACACACACCCTCCGGGCTCACAAGCCCACAAGACAGGCAGAGATGATATCCCAGTGCTAATAGAAGCCACCACAGAAATGCTCACTTGGGGCAAAAACCAGACTGCTCAGACCCTATGTCCTCCAGCAAAACCTGCATCTTCCGAATCCCACCTGGGAAAAGAAGCTGTCCCCCAAATAGTAGACATAAGATTGCTCTCCAGGGAAAGACAATAGAGCTGTCTGGGGGCAGCCAGGGCCCTATGCGGAGGCACAGCCAGACCCCAAAAGTACACTGCAGTCTGAAACAGCCCTGACCCCTCTCCCCAGAGGCTCAGCACCTTCATAACCAGAACAATCCCTTTAACGACTATTTTATTCACTATCAGACACATTTCAAAGGCCTCTCCGAACTTCAATCTCTAAAACTCCCTCTGGGGAGAGAGGCAGCAGGGCTCAAAAATCAGCTTCTCGGAGCTCAACCCTCCTTCCTCCGCTTGAGATAAGCACCCGGTGAAGACAAAGTGATAACAACCTATGCAGCCTTGCTCGGCACAGGTCCACATTACTTAGCTCATCCCACAGTGGTTAGTTTCACGGACACCTCATTCCCCCAGAGTGTGCTCCTTCTAGGTCTGTCAAGAGTATCCTGGTGCTTAAACACTGGGGAGGTACAGCCTTGCTGGCCACTCTCATTTTCCCTGGAGGATCCTCACACTGTCCACCCATGCTGATGATAATGCAAGCCTCCGTCATTTGTCGCTCATACTCTCAATGCCGTTGTCATGGGACTTAGACCAGGAACTGCACAACACCCGGAAGCACTGTGAAAAACTATAAAATCCCAGGCCCCATACCGGCCCCGCTGAGAATTATATTCTCCAGAGGACTGAGAAATCTGCATTTGTAATAGTTTTTCCAGGTGATGCATTTCCAGGCTCTGAGAATTCTCCTGCTCCAATGGATCTATGTTAACATTTTAAACTCTTTTTCCCATTTTTAGGCTCTTGATCACCCCTCCAAACCGGAAGATGATACCAGCCCAGCACAGAGGGCAAGTCTAGGCTCCGAAAGCTTTGGTTTAAGTACCAGCAGCACTGCCCTCTAGATGACTGTCCTTTGAAACCCTAGAAATGAGGCCAAAGATGACCACAATTGCTTTCAATTTCGTGCAGCTGAAGGCTCAGAGAGGCCAGGCTAAGGGTCTTCAGACTCCATGGGGGCGGGATGGGGGTAGGGGGACACTTAGTTTTGAAAGACTAGTCAATTAAGGCTGCTCTGCTACAACCCTGTAGGATGAGAAGTTAACTTGTCAAAGGCTAATGAGGTACAATAGATATGCAAATGATTTCCACCCAGTAGAAAAGATGACTCCAAAGGTTGTGGTTACATTTCCCGTAAAGTGATATTAACCAATTTTAGATCTAACTTAGTGATCTTATCTCAACATTCATTTTTTTCACTATTAAAAAAAAATACATGCCTACGTATATGTTTCCCTTATCCAACTTTTAAACCAGTTTTAACATCTTTCTGGCTCCCCCATGAATGAGATAAATCAAACTTTGACAAGTGTTAATTAGCATTTTAACTGTCATTGACCAAAGGAACTTGAGCCATCTAAACTACCTCCATGGCTTAGCTGACCAAAATCCAACCAAAAAGAACAGAGTAATAATTACTATCTCACAGCAACGCTGGAAGGATCAAATGAGAAAATGACATTCGAGCACTAGCTCTGACACTTCAAATTCGGGGGAGCTTAGGCAAGTCAGTTAACCTCTCTGTGCCTCTGCTCTCATCTATAAAATAGGAAGAATTTTAGAGTCTACTTAACAGGGTTGCTGTCAAAAGCCTATGAAATTTTGTCAAGTAAAATCAACAACTATGAAAGAACTCTTTGTAAAGCATAAAGTATTTGTGTTCT